TTTCTCAGACAGGAGAAAATCTTGATGACAATTATTTGCTGGAAACTCAGGAATTCTGACTGCATTAGGAGCAGGAGAAGGCAAAGAACAGTGGAAAGATCATGGCCCTCACCCTGCAAGTTAGACAGAGATCATAGAATGCTGCCACAACTCTCCCTCATTCCCTGAGTCCAGCACTTCTTACCATACACCGTTTCCTCAGAACAGGAGCCCAAAGCCAAGCTTTCCACAGTAGAAACCACTGAGGAGCTGGCAGTCATTTGACTTCTGTGCTACGGGTGCTTGCACAGCTATAGAGCCGTGAAATGGGAAAAGTTCCGATGAGCCTGTGTGAGAAAATGCTGTGTGTGCTCTTGGGAACAGAAGCTGAGCCCAAGGGACTTTAAGACCCAGGGGATTTCTCCTCTCTTGCCTGTGTGCTGCTTCCCAGTTCAGCCTGAGCACGTACTCAAGATGCAGGCGCACACAGTCGTGTACATGCACACAGATGCCTCTGTTAAACTTACCTGTTGGCCACACGGATCAATGTAGGGAGCTGTGCCTGTAGCAGCACCCAAAGAGACACCAGCAGCACCCCACCAGCTCCTCTTCCTCTCCATCTGAGTAAGTGTCAAGGTCACTAGTGATAAACTGCCCACTTCTTCTCTCTGTAGATGCACAATATCACACCATTGGTCTCAGATACTATCATGGGCTCTAGGTCTGCTGTCCATACCAAGACCCAGGCAATAGCTCAGACCATGAGTATTTCCAGATATGCCTTCTAGTCTCTGGCTGGTTCAGTCTGAAGATCCATACTAAATTACAAATACATGCAGATCTGCACAATTAAGTAATATTAACTGGAGAAAAAAACACAAATTTCAGTGTTTTCAGTCGCTGGTACCTAGACCTGTAGGTCACTATGACCTTCTAAGGAAGTCCAGTGAGACACAAGTGAGCCTGTGCACAGCCAACATGCTTAGGATGGAATGCATTTGCCACGGTTTGCACAGATGGTGTCACAGATTTCTGCCTCATCCTTGGGAAGCCCTAGAAGGAGTTGGCACCATGTAGTTTCCTCCTGTTGATGTTTGGGTAGTCAGTCCTTTCTCCTCAACCTGCAGCAACTCCCTGATGCTGCTGAGCTCCAGAGAGCTCTGCACACCGTGCAGCAGTGTTGAAGCCAGGTTGTACCTCCTCTGTCTATGCAAGAGAGTTATGTACAGGAGAGACCACTCCTTGGCTTTCTCCTCTGTTAGAATCAGTGAGACAAGTGGGTGAGGACTATCAAGGGAAGGAACCTTAGACACTGTTCTTGTTGCAGCACGAAATGACAGCCTTTTCTGTATTCTCCAAAGACTCTGCAGGACCTAGTTATTAGGTGACGATGCATCTGGAAAAGGGCGGCACAGCAGGATAAACTCTGCAAAGTCTAAAATTAAACTTAAGAGGGCTTAAGAGATCGGTTATACAAGATATCCAAAAATAACTTAGAATAAATCCTAAGAGGAGCAGCAAAAACACTGCTGACATCTTCAGTTCTCAGAGAGATGCATGTCTGCATGTCCAAATACAAACACGGTCTATAAATGTCAACATTGGTTACCTCTGAAAACTGAGGAAGAAACTGCAATGTCCAGGGGCAGAAACAACAGAGGGAAGAGTCCTTCATCAAGAACTTTTTACGTAGTTCTGAGCAGAACCTTTAGCACTAAGGCCATCACAATCTGGAAATCAGCAGTTGAAGGTGATCTCACCCTCCATGCTTTTCTTTTCCTCGGTCCCCAGTCTGCAACCAGTCTTTGCATCATGGCCCCAAAAGGCCTTTTTCTGGTCACTCCAGCATTTTCTGTCCTTGTTATTTAAGCTGGAGGCCTTGTCACAGAGAGCTTTCCTGGGAGAGACAACACTGGGCAAGCTGATTAAAGGGAAGGTATGGGGATGCACATTCTTCTAAGCAGCATGTGATCACCCTCTCTACATTTGTCCTCTGGACAAAGCATCTAGAGCCAAACACGATGAAACCACTAGCTTCATCAGGACCCAGATGAACTGGAATGGCTTTGTCAGTACTTTACCATGTATCCGAGAGGCACTGTGCATCTCCAGCTCTCAGAATGACAGATGTCATTTCTCTAATAGCAAATGCCATTCATTGTTAGCTTTCTTGGGATAACATGGGGAAGAATTAGGCAATTTTTAAAGGTTTCCAGTAATATGACTTCAGGTTCACTGCAGCCATGGGGGAGACATGACTCTGAGAAGTGAGGTTAAGATAAGTGAGATAAAATTAATAGATTATGTCTGAAAACAAACAAAAAATGCAGATCCATATGGCTAAAATGAAAAATCCAGCTTAATCTGCTTATATCAAATTCAAATCTAAAGGTCACTCTCCTTATATTAACTTGATATCAGTGCATTCCTGACAGACGTCATGCCTTATAATGCAATCTGGCTGAGAATGATTCCTACTTACAGCACAGTATCTTTTATAGCCCACCTGCTCGCCTGAATTTCTTGATCAGGTCCCTAAGAAAACCGCATGTGAAAAAAAGGTGGCTGGCCTTGCTCATGTCCCTACAAATATAGGAAGAATGGCTACAAAGAGCAGCTACAGAATTTCTAGTCAGAAGCACTTCTCCAGAAGCAGGTGCAGCCTTGGGAGGCACTACAGAAAGGGCATCACCATCCATCAGGTATCACAAGACTTGGTAAAGTCACAGGTGACCTGATCAGGCCCCAGCAATAGCCCTACTCTGAGCACAAGGCCGAAAAGAGACCAGCAAGGTCCTGTCAACACAGAGCTTCTGAGATGCCGTTGTTTCTGCATACACCACCAAGTATCTTTCAGTCTGTCTCACAGCAACATTTGTTCACCTGACATTCCCTCTGCTCAGATAGGGACCTCTTTTGGAAATAGAGATGATGCTTTGATAACTTGTTTTCTTTTCTAAAATGTCCTCGTAATGCCTGAATTCACAGAGGACAAGTCCTTTGCTCAGACATGGGGTTACAGAAACGTTCGTTTCAATACCAAGTGCAACTTTTATAGCAACTTATACATAGATTACATACACAGCACTTTGTAGCATATGTAGCAAATAAAAAGTAATATTAGCAATCTGTTATGAATGTTTTCTTTTATCTCAATCCTACCAAAGACATCAAAAGGATTAACATTATATAGTGATCATGGAATCATGGAATCCTTAGAGTTGGAAGCGACCTCTGATGGCCATCTTAGTCTGACTCCCCTGTGGTGAACAAGGATTCGTACAGATAATTAATTGCTTTTAAGAACAAAAAAAATGCAGACTTCAACATCTCTTCTGTATTTCACCATGTATTCTTTTTCAATGGCTTATTTTCTAAATAAGTCTTTTGACTGTGCAAAGATAATTAAAGAAAACTAATAAAAACTTCAGCTGCTCTTCCACAAATTCAAGTCTTAATGGGCAAAATGGATTCTCCACCATTACCTGTGGAAGGTATGCCATGCTCTGATTACTCAGGGCAGAGCAGAGAAGCTATTGGCCACTTCGTACTGTAACTTATTGTAAAAACCACATGTATTCATTGGACAGATGCACCTAAACACAGGAATTATTTTATAGTTTCTTCAATTGCCTGAAGAAGTACAAAAGTCAAAGCATCCATCTTTAAGATACATTTGCTGCTTTGGTTACATTTGCTGAGGCAGAGTCCTAAAAGAGAAAAGCTTTAATTTACAGTGATAAAAGGATGAAGCAGCCACAAGGCAGAGGGAGTGACACAGGGCTGTGCGACTGTCACGGCAGCACATTAGCCTGCTTTGTAACAGTGGGCTTTAAAAGACTTGAAAATGCTATGCAATTTTTTTAGCTTGCTTTGTGCTTCAGCTTTTGTCTTTCATAGCCACATTTCATACCTAAATCGGGGCCTGATAAATCCCATTTGGAAAACTGGGGTGAGTGAAGCTTTGACATCTGCACCCAGGTAGCCAGAGCTGGACAAATCCCTTTGTTCAGCCCTTCTGGAAAGATGAAGTTCTCCATCTCTCCAGTGAGCAGTACTAAATGTCAGATTCTTGTAGAAAATGACTGCTTCTTTGCTTTCTGCTGTAGTATCAAGTGCCCAACTGGAATTCCACATTGATTCTCAGAGTTTTTAATGACAGTCTGCTGACAACGTGAGTCTAGTAATGTCTACAAGTAGGATCAGCATGATGTTTATTCTGCTTAGTCTGTTCACTGAGAATATGCTTTCATGCTATGCCCTATAAAATGAAGTCAACCATTCCCTGGCTCACTCACATTCTCCCTTCAGAGAAGAATATGTTGCTTGGGGCACTGAGAAAGTGCAGCTGCAGCTAGAATATTGGACCCATTCAAGTGAGCCAAGCGAGCGCCCCCTCAAGGGCCCTCAAGTTGGTCAGAATCAAATCTATCAAAACTCTTCAAAATGTAGCACAGAAAAGTTGTTCAAATGAATTCGAATTTTGAATAACTTTCTTTATCCTTGAGTAATTATATGGGATTCTGGCTGTTTGGCTGCAGTCTTAGCTAAAAATACTATGACTGGGACTCAAAACTTGCTGTTACTGTTTTGGTTTTTTTTTTTTTTTAATAGACAGCTTTAGATAAGCATTATAAAATTAATTATTTTTACATAACAGATACCTATCATATGCAGAATCTGTGGAGTCCTCCTCATCCATGCTTGTAAATGACAGTCCAGTGTTGGTGAGCTGTGCATTATGTGGCTCCTTCTCTGCTATCAAGTTGTTTTCTCCTGATAAGAGGCACAGGAACCAGAACCTAGATGGGCTTTATCATACCCTTGGTTGAAGGTGACTCTTGCCTTGTGAGGATCATTTGTCTAGGAAGGAGGCCCAGTAAACATCTGCTCTGTGGCTGAGAACATGAGGTGGTCCCATAGAGTCTCAGGTGGGAGTGAGGGCAGGAGCACCAGCAGAAGGAGGAGGCAGAGCAAACCAAACACCTTCTGTCTCCTAAAATAATCCTTTTCTTTTAAAGGTGAGAAATGTCGAAGTTTTATTGACCTTGCTCCGGCTTCTGAAAAAGGTAAGACAATACATTTAAGGCTTCTTCCCTTTTTACAAATTGCACCAGTACTGTTTCTTGTCATACTTCAGTGCCAGGGGAAACATTACTTCCTAAGCATACAAGAACTTAAGTGCCATCCAGATTACTTTTAGCTGAAGGGTTAAGACAGCTGTTTACTCAGATCCTGCAGACCTGTCATTTCTCTGATGCGTTCCTTTTTCATTCAGCTGTTTGGTGGGCTTTTTTTCCAAGTAAATTAAGATTTATTTTGTAATACAGACATTTCCCTGCCTCCTTTAGTAAGGAAGGACACTGCACAGTTTCCTCAGGCCATGGAGCCATTTATACTCAGAAAATTGCAGTGACACTTACTTTCAGGTCCCAAATGTCTCTTTGTGAGGGGAAATCATGTAACTGCTTGTGTGACCTAACATCAAGGAAAGAAGAGAGGGAAAATAATCAGGTGCAAAGAAACGGCAGGCTGCAAAGCTTTCCTTTACCCCTGTACTAGAGGTGCACATCCCCCATAGCAATTTAGTCCATATTTCCCAATAGTATTCACCATCAGAAATATAAAATAAAAGGTAGAATTCAATTAACTATCACGTTGGGCAGCTGAGCACATCCTGCTTCCAGCTGAAGACCGAGCACTCTGCCCACAATCACAGTGGCACACGATCCTTGTGCTGCCCTCCATGCTCATAATGAACTTCTGGAGAATCCAAAGGATGTGAAAACTCACTTTTGTACAGAGACACCATTTTTTAGATCACGTAAGACAGTCCCAAAGCCTTTTGAGCAAATGGTACCTCCATGAAGTCTGACACAGGCAGTGAGTGGTGTAAGGAACAATTGTTCTCAGTTTGAATTGCTGATCAGCTGGGCAGCTTGAAAGAGAAAGATGATTACTGTTAATAAACTAGTGGGGTATTCAGTGGGAGAAATACTAGCAGTCTCTGTGAAGGTCATTGTAAGCAAACTTGAAGATATTATGCACATAAGGGAAAAACAATCCTGGGATTACTAACACTGATGAGCTGTGAGCTAAACCTTACGTACAGAAATCTGACCTTGGGACTGAACAGATTTGAAACCACCAGCTCCTCATTCAGAGGGCAAAAAGCAAACTGGATTTTAGGAATCCCAAGGAAAGGGCCTGAGAACAGAGCAGAGAGCGTCCTGTTGCAGAATGACTGTAAAGACCAAGAGCCTCTCCTGTATACAGAATACACAGTGGTATTTTTTTTCCCTTCTAGTCTGGTTCACAGAAAGGCAGCAAGGGTATTCAGAGTTCTAGAAGGTTCTGTACAAGAAAGACTAAGATTCTTTAGCCTGAAGGAGAGAAATGTGAAAGGAGATATAAAGGACATTGATAAAGACGTAAAAGGAGCAAAAAAGGCAACACAAGGCCAAGCAGACATTGCATGATTTGAGAAGGACTCAAGACAAGCACAGCGTGTCTGTTAGAAAGGCACGGGGATGGTTTTGTTCATCCATTTTCTGTGCAAGTTCATTAGGGTTCATAATGCATCACCCACGCTCATTCCAAAACAGCACTTAGTACTTTCAGTATTTGTTTTTTTGGTGGTGCTAAACGCTGTCAGCATTTTTTTTCCATAGCACTTTTAGAGTTGCTGCATGGTATCAGTGTATATTTCTAGGCTATTTTATTTTTTCTTTTCCAAGAAGTCAAGCTCTTCTGTTTTAGTGAACAAAATTATTTCTATTTCTGAAGCTTTTCCGTGCAGTTGTATGACATGATCACAGAAAGTGAGGGGAATGCTGAAGATAGAAAATACCAACTACCGGACTTACAAAGAGAAACAGAAAAGATTCTGCAATTGCATATCAACTGAAACATGGCCAACCTGATTTCTTCACCATCAGCCTTCTACCATCCTGAGATGCTTCCATTACATGTGAAAAGAAAGCTGTCAATGATGCCCAGCTTTCTTTCACTGCAAATTATTTAACTTGTAGACCTATTCTGTTCTTTTGTAAATAGAAAGAACTTCCAACTTCTTTAATTTCTTCATTCTGTCACTCAGCATTGACTTTACAAGTATCCCTTGTGCTGTAGTAATATTCCTAAAGAAATCAGAGAAATCAGCATTTTAACATGTATTTCTCAAGCACAGCAATGAAGGTATTCAGAGCAGATGACTGCAGAGGGTCATCCAAATTCCAAAGTGAAAACCTATTTAGGAAAGGTATGTAGCTGGATAACTGTGCTCAGCTGCTGGCAAGGGGCAGGAGACAGATTTCCTCACTTCTGAAGCCCTGAGAAACCTGCGTCCACCTCCAGATTCCTGTGGCGTTGGCTGGGCATGCACACTGGGCAGAAGCTTGCAGCTATTCAGTAGCACCTGGTGCTGGGCCAGATACTTGATTCCTCTTCCAAGTAAATGAGATAGGATAAAAATGCAGCAAATACATAAAAACCGAGGGCCTTTTTCTGAGCTCAGTTGTACTACCATGCTTTGGTTTTCACAGAACATTGTGTAACTGGGAACACAACTTGTCTTTACAATGAGACTTCTGCTCACTCATTTTCTATACACATTCTTAGCATGAATTACCACTAAAAAGTGGTTGTTCAAGGTTTTTTTTAATACCCAAAATGCCTCTAGGTATGCATGCTCAATTATTGCAGCTGGGGACTCGGCTTTCCAGAGTTTTCTTTCAAGTTGGCTTTCTCTGCTCCAAATCAGACCTGTGTCTCACCAACTCCTCAGCTAAGGACAGGTTGTTGGAGACTGTCAAAATACTTCCAAGCACATCATCTCTCACTTTGAAGGCATGCTAGAAGGAAGCCTAAGCACAGACAGTCTCATTGTGTAACAAGTTCTTCTACAGTCCATCACCAATCAGCAACAAATCAGAGTAAAACCCCATCAGAATATTTAAAAACTTTTTTTAATAGAGAAAAGTTGATCACAAACATTTACAGGAAAATCTTAAAAATACATGGTGAGGCCTAGGTGCATCCTTACCTTCATAAATGAAAACCTGCTTCATATTTTCACTGTTAAAGCATAGGGATCTATGATTTTGAGCTCCCTATCTTTAGTCCACTTATGCTGATCTGGATATTGTATTTTTGTTCAGCTATTACAGCTTTTGTATACATTGCACCAATGCCACCTACTAAAAGGAGGCAGATCTGAGCAGCAGGATTTGGGGCAAACAGACCCACAGTGTGGTATAAATAAACACTTCCAACCTACACTTGGAGAGCCCTTCCCTGCTCTTAAGACAGCTGCCAACAATCTGTCAGAAGCCTGTAAGCCTAACATTGAATTTATTAGCTATTGCTGGTTGTTAGTGCTAAATCTGCTTAGCAAAATCAGCTTTGTGATGGTAGATACAATGAGAAAAAAATACGTCCCGTGTCCACATTTATTATGATATTATTCATTCACTAATGGTGAAGGAAGGTAGGATAATAGGCTACTAACAAGGTTACTTTGGCCAAGACTTTTAGAGGGCTCTCAAGGAGCAGTTGGTTTTGGGTCCCGTGAAGCCTTCTATTTTCTAATTCTCATTACAGAAATGAGTAATAAGATAGCAAGTATTTCCAAAAGGAGCTGGAAGAAAGCTGCCACCTGATCTTCAAGTTGTGAGTCGTCCCTGGGATTTTCTCAACAAAGCAAATTAAAATTTCATTCTTGCTGATTATTTTGACATCAGAAAAGGGTAGCTGGTTTAGTAAGGGGCGCCGATCTGAAAAGCACATCCAGTTTTTAACTACTTGGTACATCTTTTAATGCATCTTCCTCTGCCTATGGGCTGCTCAAGACCTCGCTTGTTCAACGCAGCTTTCTTTCCATCAGGCGCTTGCCGCAGTGCCCACCCAGCACACTGGGCTGCAACATGCTCCATAATCCTCCCTCTGTCACCAGCCCTTCTGGGCTCACCCATCCCTGCAGATTTGTGCCCAAGAGGACATCCACAGGGCCAAGGAGGATGCATTCACGTGGAAGAAACCGAGGCTGAATATTATGTCTGGAAACTGTGGCACCACGGTGTAAAACAAAAGGTGGCAATAAGTCCCAAAAAGTGACCTGATGAATGACAATTATACACAAATACAGGCCTGTACAGAACAGCGTGGAAGTTTGAACTTCCCCATCCTTCTCTAAATGACATAAATGTCAGCTGTTAACCACAACAACAGTGAGGGCAGAAGGAGAACGAGGTGCTCTGACCTGAGGAGTCCTGTTGGGAAGTTGCTTCAGAAGCAAACTAAAAGATCACTGTTCACTCAAAACTGAGATTGTTGTACCAACAGAGGGCAAGATTCACATATAGGATTCACAGGACAATCTCTTTACGAGGATGGTACAATTTGAACTACTCTAGTGTTCTGTAAGACCTCACTTGCTTCAACAGTCAAATTTATGGAACAATACCACAAAAAATAACAGAACGGCAGGTCATCAGCAACTGTCTGCACAGCACTGCTTTTTACTGATTCACAGGGAAATTCACATGCATAAAATAAACAAGACCTTTTAGACACCATGAAAATTGAGGCAGCATAAAATCTTACAGAAGGAAAATGTTCATTGCTGGTGAGTATTTAACGCTCAAAAATGTTACAGGGGACTTTTTAAATTATAGACTGCACTGGCAGAGATAGAAAATGACTCCTGTATGTCCTCTACACAGCTCGTGATGATGCATCCTGTAGAGATGAAAATAAAAATCTGCACTGTCTGAAAAGTAGCTGGCAAAACTAGGATGACAAGCAAGAAATAAATAAAGTCTCACCTAAACAAAGCACAGAAAGAAGAGAAAACTTAGCCAACTTTAAGCCAGCGCTACAATAGCAGGTAATGAGAAGGAAAACAAGATGCCTGATTTTAATGGGTACTGACATAACGGGTGTATCAGAAATTTGACAAGCGAAAGATAACTAGAAGGACAGTAACGTCATGGCACTGACTGCACTGAAAGTCAAAGCAGGTGTCTTGTACTGAAGTTGAACAAGAACAACAGAGAAACATCATTAACAA